AATTGAAGAACGGACCTGGCAGATCCACGGAGGCAAAGAAACAGTGGCGGTTGAGTTGAGAGAGCTCGACGGCGGCGGAAAGCAGGTTTTCCGGCGAGACAAAATGCTGAAGAAGGAAGCTAAAGAACTGACATGGAACTTCAAGGAGAGCTCAATGCAGATCCGCAGAGGCAAAGAAACGGCGGCGAAAGAGCTCGACCGCGATGGAAACCTTGTTTTCTGGGGCGTTTCTGATTTCTGGCGGCGAGAGCTAGACGCGATCTCTCTCTCCCGATTTTTTTTTTTTTTTTAAATTTCAGTTTTTAATAGAGAATAACTAAAGGGTATTTTCGTCCTCTCACCTATGTTTGATTAAAAAGGGTATGAAGATGAGAAAGGGAGATAAGAGATTTGTCTTCAATCAAATTGTCCTTTTGAGATCAGGACTCCTGTTCGTGTGACGGTCATCTCTAAATCTCTTCAACTGATCAATTGCTTAGTAAAGCTCCCTTTTGTTGTTGTGGAATTTGGTGTTTCTCTTGTTTATGGCTCCAACAGCAAGAAAGAAAGACGGCTTCTTTGGTCTGAGCTGGAATCCCTTGCTTCTTCTCCTCAGTTCTCATGTACTCCTTGGACAATCCTTGGTGATTTCAATGCTTTTCTGTTTCCTTCTGAGCATTCATCAGTCAATCAGTCTCCTTCTAGAAGTAGCATGAGGGAATTCAAATACTGTGTTGACAAATGTGCTCTCTCTGATTTGCCTTATTGTGGTAATACATTCACATGGACTAATAAGCAATGCAAATGGATTGTGGCTAAAAAGCTCGACAGAATTATGGTTAATGATGCTTGGTTCGCTTCTTTTCCTGAGTCTATAGATGTATTTGGGGAACACCTGGAATTTCTGATCATAGCCCTTGCTGTGTTTTTCTTGATGCGCAAAAGCCAAAACAAAAAAAGACCTTTCAAGTTCTTCTCCTTGCTGAACCGTCACCCCGAGTTTATTGAAGTCATCAAATGTTGTTGGGATTCTTTGAATTTCTTAGGCTCAAAAATGTTGTGCATCTCCAAGAAATTGAAAGAGCTCAAGAGTGTTATTAGAACTTTTTGTCGTGATAACTTCACTGATTTGGAGAAGAGAGTGGCAGAATCTTTCTCTCCTCTCCTGTAATGTCATAATCAACTCTTCCTTACGCCTATTGCTGCTGCTGCTGAACTAGAATCGGCAGCTCATCTGAAATGGCTCAACCTGGCCAAGGCAGAGGAATCTTTCCTGTTGAAGCGATCTCGGATCTAATGGTTAGATGAAGGCGACTCAAATACTGCATTCTTTCACCGGGCTATCAAAACAAGGCAGTTTCAAAATCAAATCCTCTACTTCCTCAATGATGATGACTCGATCATAGACTCCTTGGAAGGTATTAAAGAGCATGCTGTGAATTATTACTACAACCTTTTAGGCGCCTCTGTTTCATCATCAACTCCAGAGGAAATAGCTGCTCTTGTGCCTTTTCGATGCTCTGCAGTAACTTCAACGGCTCTTTCA